CTGCCTACGCCGACGGCCAGAGGCCCGCGCATCTACATTTTTTCGCCTGACCCCATCAGTGCCGACCCAACTACACCACCACGCGCATGCCTCGCGGCGGATATGCGCAGCAGCAAGAAGGTTTCGGTCATCCCTTGAGGGTGAATCTAGCCCTGCTCGCCAGAAAGACCCCCCCCTTCACTACAACCCATGTCTAAGCAAAAGCTTGTCGAGGGGCGAAGAACGAGGGGCGAAGAAGAGAAGTGTATGTAGAAAAAAACGACCCTCGGAAGATCCAGGGAAAACCCAGTCACATAAGACTAAATCCCCTTCAGGCATCGTCTGGCGAGGGGTTCGTCCCCGGAGATCCCCGCTCTCAGTAAGCCACAAATCCAAGTGATCCAGCCGGGTGCTAATGAGCTGAGCGTATATCTTTTGTACGCTAAAGTTACACCATTCGACTAGTCAGCCGCTGACATGTCTAATGGTGTATGGTGTAACGTTATTTCGCTTACAGGGCAAAAGGAGACCGGTTCTAGAACCGTTTCGGCGAAACCAACCGAATGAAAAAAAATTATTCCATTCATTTTTCAAGATAAGCGATGCGGCGCATCCTGTTTCACCATGAGCAACGACGACTCATGCCTTGTTCTCCACGGCAATCGACTCCGCTTAGTCGAATTACATACAGAGGACACCACTCTCGAAGTCCTCAGCTCTAAACTTCAACATCTACGGCCGTGCCGACTCGGGCCTGGCCGTGGCTCGTTGCAGTCTCATGCTTGTAGACCGCATAATTCACGTCCGCGGGGAAAAGCGAGATTAGTAAGGCAGCACCGGAAGAAGCACAACCGCTGGATGCTGCTAACCTCCTGGCTGTTAAAGAAGGGTGCCACCAAGGCAGCTGGCAGTAAGTTGTCCTCTGTAGTTGCTGATGAAGATCAGCTCCACGAACAGGGTAGAGAGCATGCTGAAGCCATTCAAGAACGAGCAACAAAGCGCGGCAACCAACAGGCTGCTGCTGCTGCTGCTGCTGCTGCTGCTGCTGCTGCTGCTGCTGCTGCTGCTGCGGGGAAGGGGAAGCGCAAGGGGGCGGACGCAGCTCTCTCTGACCCTCTAGCATTGGCTTACGATGGTGGACGAGAAGCGGGGCTACCTCAGAGGCTTCACGCGAGGGACAGGTGAGGTTTTGGGTTGCTGAAGTGCTGTTGAAATGCTTGGACTACAATTGTACTTCTTGGCGCCAATTCGTGCCGCTCTAAATCTATCCAGTATTTGAATTTTGGTACGCACGGCCGTCTGTTGCTCGTGCTCCCGAGATTGATCTCCATTCCACGACTTCGTGATGGTAGCGTAGAAAGCGCATGAAAAGTTGCATGGAATCACTGTTGTACTTGCTGCAGTCACTCTTCTTCGTGTGGCATTTGTTGTTGGCCCACCCATACTCCTGCTGAAAATAACACACACCCTCCCCCGACTCCAACAACTCCTGATACATGTACGCAGGCTTCGGAGGAGCGCCGCTCTAGCGCGCTGGAGTTGATCCAGAAGGACCACGTGTTGATGGAGCGAGGACGGGTCATGCTGGGGGCGAGCGCTGCAGACCAGGCAGCAGCTAAGGAGGCGGCGGTCAACGCGGCGAACACTCGCGCGCTCCGTGCCACGCTCCAAGCGCTGAAGCGGCACAGCAACAGCTCGACAGGGTGGACCGCGTACACGACAGCGCTCGCCACAGCAGCGGGAGGGGAGGGAGCACACGTGGCCTGACCCCAACCTGTGCCACCCTGGCAACCGGTACAAGCCCGCTGAGCCTGGTGGAGTGAGCTTTGCCGAGCGAGCCAAGAGTCTCGGCATTCGGTACGAGACTTTCAGCGACGCACGTGTGCGGATGCACAACACGAACCACGACATCGCCCCCAGGGACGCTGTGAGTGACGGGTGCTACGTGTATAACGAGCGCAAGACACGGAGTGACGTGACGAATCCCGAGGTAATGGCTCTCGCCAAGGCTTTTTGGCACTCCGACGACGTTTCCCGTGCAACAGGAAATTCAGGCAAGTTGCTGCGTCGCGCACGAGTTTCTGCTAGGCTACGCCGCGGAGGCGGACAAGGCGCGTGAAGGCCACTTCACAACCTGGTCCCCTTACCGGATCAAGAGCTTCGAAGTCAGGAAGTTTGGCCCCAAGGAATTCCTCGCCCACCGATAGATCTGACGGGGATCCCTGGAAGTTCCAAGCTATACTTTTTCACGGGAACAGAGGAGGAGCAGGAGGATGTGCAGGATACCTGTAGTCTTGTGTGGGCTACAAGTGTGGGGGTGCAGACAGACGATTCTGGGGTGGAAGCGGCCGGAGGTAAGGTGTTGACGGCTAGGNTTATTTTGTGTTGCTGAGGTCTACCGCTACTGCTCTTGCACTAATGCTCGTTGTGGTGAACCGCAATACACCCGGTTGATTGTCCGGATGGCACATGTGTGATGGAGATTCTCAGAGATTTTTTCTTTTTTTTTGCCTGCAGGAGCGAGGGACATGTACAAGGAGTCTAACAAGAGAGACGCACCCTCTCACCCTCGGAGACAGCTCATGCACAAGGGAGACAGAGTGTGGAGGATGTTCCTCGAGAGCCGGCGGTACCTGGCACTCAAGGGAAGACTACTTGAGCAGGACAGCAGCTTCACCGACCCTGGCAGGACGACGTTTCTGTCGACGCGGTGTGGTTGGTTAGGTGAGCCGCAATGTGTTTGTAAGGTTGGGGTGCCCAAAACGTATACCTGGTGTCTGGTATGCCCGATCAATGTTGCTGACGCATGGCTTTGTCGCCGAGGAATAAGACCTGAATTTTTTCTTTTCCTCTGCTTGCGTCTTTTTCGATGTTTCGCTGCTCCCCTCCGCTTGCATCTTTCTCGATGTTTCGCTGCTCCTCGACAGTGGAGCCAATAGTGTCGCAATATGCGTGCGAGACCCACACGCAGCAGGTGTTGTATCTCGAGTCCCTTTCCTTCTTGATGGGGTCGATACACCAAAACTGCGACTGCAAGTGTGACTGGTGTGACGGGCTTGGTTGTAAGAAGTGGTCTGTCATGTGCCGGGACCTGAGCAAGTTTTCTGACGCTTCCGCATGCGAGAAGGTTTACCTGCTGGAGGGGGATTCCGACGGAGGGTGCGGAAACCGGCATGCGCTTCGAATATGTGCTCAGAGTGCGGGTTCGGAAAGCCTGGAGGTATTCCGACCAACTGCACCGCTCTGGCGAAACACAAAGAGCGAGTAGTGGCTTGGATCCGCTTCGAAGACCAGGTCATGCCTGACGGCAAGGTGCACAAGAAGCAGCAGCTACCGCAGACGGGGAAGCTCGAAGACCTGTGGGACGAGTTCATGGCACACTCGGTGAAGGTAAGCTCAACAATCGTACGTCATGAAGGATTTCACTGTTGTCTAAGCAGTCCTGCGCGCTCTTGGTAGCGATTCATTACAACATGCCTCTTCATGACAACAAAACTAAATCCATGCCCTCTTTGCCAAGCCATCTCCTGTTCACCTTCCCTTCCTTCCATTCCAGCACATGGAGCACCACGCCTTAACCAAGTGGCAGCGCCAGATCCACAACATGTGCATGGCTACACTTCGCCCGAGGGCGAGCTGTTGATCGAAACCGACTTCATCGAGAAGTACAGGCACGAAGCGCGCGTGGTGCTGACATGTGCTACAGCACCAACAACGACCATGATGGTGGCCCTTGTACATCACAGCCCCGACGACCGTGGGGAGCACGAGACGGACGCTTGGATTTTTTTGTCCAGCGATCCGAACCATGACTTCGACTTCCATCACGCAGCGATGGAGGTCGTTGTTGCGCACTACACGACGGGACCGAAGTCTGCGGCCACCGCTGGGAGTGCGGCCCCACGAGTGCACATGTTTACGGACGGGTGCGGCAAGCAGTACAAGGGGAAGCGGAACTTTCGAGCGGTGGCACAGAGCCTCAACAGGCTTGGTGTCCGCATTTTGCACAACTTCGCCGTCACTTCTCACTTCAANGCTGCTGCCACCGCTGGGAGTGCGGTCCCACGAGTGCATATGTTTACGGACGGGTGCGGCAAGCAGTACAAGGGGAAGCGGAACTTTCGAGCGGTGGCACAGAGCCTCAACAGGCTTGGTGTCCGCATTTTGCACAACTTCGCCGTCACTTCTCACTTCAAGGGCACTCATGATGGCACCGGGGCGCACATGAAGGGCCTACTTCGGAACGCGGAGATGTATGGCACGCGTATCCCCGACGTCGACGTCGCGCACGAGTTTCTGCTAGGCTACGCCGCGGAGACGGACAAGGCGCGTGAAGGCCACTTCACAACCTGGTCCCCTTACCGGATCAGGAGCTTCGAAGTCAGGAAGTTTGGCCCCAAGGAAATTCCTCGCCCACCGATAGATCTGACGGGGATCCCTGGAAGTTCCAAGCTGTACTTTTTCACGGGAACAGAGGACGAGCAGGAGGACGTGCAGGATACCTTTAGTCTTGTGTGGGCTACTAGTGTGGGGGTGCAGACAGACGATTTTGTGGTGGGAGCGGCCGGAGACAAGGTGTTGACGGCTAGGAAGTGGGTGGTAGACGAGTCCAGGGCAAGGAAATGGGCCGCCCCCAAGAAGTTCACCAGATCTTGGAAGTTGCGGGTTCGGGGCGCATCGTGCTACTGCTCAACTTGCCGAGTAGGCTGCTACGATGATTGCATGGTAGCGAAGGTGTACCCCGACTTGGTTGGCAAGTTGATGGAGAAGTCGGGAAAGGAGAAGGTTGGGAGACGCACGCTTGGGACTCAATGACCGGCGATATCGTTCCGGTGATATCATCGGACGAGTCTCCAGTGGCGCGTACTCCCAACCCCATGCCTAGTCCGACGCTTGACGAGAGCATGGGGGAGAAGGGAGATGGGGAGGAGGATATGGAGGAGGAGAGGGATTAGGAAGAGGAAGAGGACGGGGAGGAGGAGGAAGAGGAGGACGGGGAGGAGGAGGAGGAAGAGGAGAGGGAGGAAGAGAGATACGTAAGCTCAAGAGGGCGCATACGCATTGCGAAGAGGAGGTTCTCGGAGTTGGGCTAGTGATTATGTGTTGACTGCCAACCGTGAAGAGTACAGGCACTTAAATCGATCAATATGTGGGAAAATCCCCGTTTTGTCCCAGGGGGGGG